TATTTATATCATTTTAGAATTTTGCCTCACATTCAGCTCTTCAGGACGGTACGTCCGCCTCTTTTATTCCCCCAGAAAATACGAATGAAACAGTGTCAGATTCACAGTGCCAGAGTTCCTCTTAAAGTTTTCCAGCTCCGGAAGGCAGAACTGGGTGACGCTTGTACAGTAGAGCCAACACCCGCTCACAGTGATGCCGCCATCTGTCACTATACATGATAGCGGTAATTATCCACAGATGAAGAGAGATTTATAAGCATCACCAATATATTCTTCTACAGGCTCACTAATTACTAAGGAGGTAATTGGATCATAAATGCAATTCTATTCTGGGTTCACACCATCGGCCTCGTCTCATAAAATGTTCTCATCCTTCAAGTGAACCAGTGGCTATAACAGAATAAAAGAAACCCTCTGTAGAGCCGTGGGCCCACCAAGTGCCTGAATGTGATTTTGGGTTTCTCCGGGACGTCGGAAGGGCAGAGAGCTCCGATGTACAAACAGCAAAGACAATGGCCTGTCCCTTTCCTTCCTGTACCTGCAGCCATATTGAGACAAGAGCTAAGCCATGGTTCCTGCTTTGTAGAGAGCTTCCTAGATAAAGTTCTTGCACCTGAGAAGACACTCAGTCGGCATTCCCAATCAAAATCATGAGATCTATTACTCCAGATCCTCATCTTCTCACCAAGCAATAAAACCTGACCGGGGTTTATAAACAATAAATGGGTCACTGGAATGTAGTCTGGGACCGTACTCAGGTAATCCATAAAAAAGTCATTTTCTTTAACTCAAACACCGGTTTTAACCCTTTCCATACTTGACATTCCACACCTAAATCAATTTATGGTCCGTAAAAGGGAGAGAAGCTTCGACCACTCCATCCAGACCCAAGCTCCACAGCTCGGGTTTGTTGGAACGTCTTGCACAGCCTCACAGAGAAACACAAGCACACAGTCTGATATGCATGCTGCACATGGATTGAAAAAACAGGAAGGAAGCTACAGCTTTATTCTCTACCTCATTCAATACAACAGAGAATCTACCATAGATATAACAGAACTTATAAACACTGCCATCTACTGACCGTAACTGTATACTGCAGGAGTTGTTGCAATAGATACAATAATGTGTATTCTAACAGGGTTCACCCCAGGTGCTGTCCACATTCCACAATCACATTAGTTTAGAAATAGTGGCATATCATCGATCTTCACCAAACAAGTATCAAAGTTGTATCAAACAAGTATTAAAATCCACCCGTCATTATAGTGTGGTCCCTAGCTAATGATCACCCACAGCCAACGTGTTTCACTCCTTTGGGCTTAATCGTAGAGACTAATTCTAGCGGTGTGCGACAATTTCTGGACTAACATTTATGGTTCATCTTTTAGGTATGCCTGTTACTTTATCCAGTATAGGCAATGTGCTGGTTCATTTAACAGTAATACCATCCTTTAGGGCAGATTCACACTATTGCAATGCTTTAACACACCTCACCGCTCACTATGGTATGTGCTTGGGTTGTGCTGGCAGCTACTGTACAGTGTGTTGGGGTGCCATTCACAACATACTGCACACAAGGACATGTGTTAAAGGAGAACTATGAGGTGAGTGCTTTTCAATCACCTCATAGTTCTAGCCGACCTGTGACAATGAGACTGTCACAGGTCGGCTCAGTAGATCGGGAGGTGAGCGAACATATTACCGGCGTTCGCTCACCTCTCGATCCTGTCACGTCTCTCTGCCGTGACAGGGGAGGGGCTGGATTCCCCCCTCCCCGCTCCGATCCGCCAGCGCTGACTGGCGGATCGGACGGGGGAGGGGGCGGGTACAGCTGGCTCTGCCTCTAGATAGGCAGAGCCAGCTGTCACTCACGCAGCAGGGCGGATCTCGACATCGATGTCGGGATCCGCTCTGGCTGCGGCGTCTCAGTATACCGCGAGCTGTAGCTCGCGGTATACTGAGCTTAGGGTGACGGGAGGACGCTAGTTTGTGTCCTCCCGTTACCCTAAGGAGAACTATGGGGAAAAGCCCCCATAGTTCTCCTTTAAGATGCATTACTTCAATGCATATACAATACCAAAGTACGTGTCATTGCATATCTCCCTAATGTTCCTCATTTGATACCATTTGAAATCCTTCTGTCCCTCTTTCCTCCTCAGTTGTCCCTCTTTCCTCCTCCGTTGCCCCTCTTTTTGGACTGATGTACAGCTGTCTATAAAAGCTACACACGTGAAGAGAGAGCGTGCAGAGCGTACACAGTAAATTTGGTGCTAAGCTCACTTCTGTCATACAGCTGTCCGTAAGGCATTCATGGACGTCATCAAGATTTTACGCTGATCGCCTCTCACCAGTAACAAGCCTGTTCTTTTTGTGCTCAGCCAATCCAGCCCCCCATGTTTAGATATCCTGGTCTTTGATGTAGAAGAAGACAATGGGGGTTTTTTTGTGTTCATGTGCAGTTTGTTTAAGGTGAGGAATTTCCAGGAAAAAGGATGGGATGCTCAACTGATCTCTAGGAATCCAGCAACTCTGCTGGATATACCGTATAACTCGATATACATCATCCACCTCAGAATCGCCAGGGAAACAGAAGGTTCAGAAACCACTGAATAAAAAAGATGAATGCACAGATAACTGATGAAGAATTTTAGTCAAATGAAAGGATCAGTCTACTCAAAGGTAATAGTTTATTAGTCGGACCTGGTGTACTAAGCTGGACAGAAAATTCAGCAGAAAACCATTTATTATAGGCACAGACCTGGGAACTCAGTGCAGGGATGGTGGGAACCGCTCATAATAGGTGTAGCAGGTGTTGAGACCCCGGGAACCCAGTACAGCGATAGTGGGAACTTCTCATAATGGGCACAACAGGTGTACAGACCCGGGAACTCAGCACAGGGATGGTGGGAACCCTTCATAATGGGCATCGCAATTGTGCATACCCAGTGCGGAGATGGCGGGAGGCCCTCATAGCAGGAATGCAGAACCTAGGAAGTCAGCACAGGGATGGTGGGAACCACCTGGTGTAGACATCTTATCTGCATAGCTGCAGATTTCAAGTACTCTTCTATACATAGATGCACATATAAATTTAATTTGCATTTCATTTGTATTTGGCTCAAATAGAACTTGACCTGTGGAACATTTCACATTGCACGGTTTTATACAGATGAATTAAAGGCTCTGCACATAAATGGGTTAACCCCTCTTTTTGCAACCTGCACATTTGGGAAAATGGAATTACCCCTCCAATCTGAACCCCTCTCCCCCCGCTATACTTAGCGTTCAGCTAATGCTCCTTCCCCTCCGATAGTATGTGCATACAGCATGATGACCAATGCGTGCTCGCCATTTGTAATCGAAATTCAAAATCCATAGCGCAGGGCTGCACTACACGGCAGTACGGGGTACGGTACACGCATACCAGCGAAGGGTAAGGATAATTCACCAAAAGGTAAGTATAGTTGGGGGGAGGGGGGACAGATTGGAGGGGGTAATTCCATTTCCCCCCAAAAAAAGTGGAAAAGTGAACGTACCCTTTAAAGCTGAACTCTGAGGACATAATAAAATCAACTCTCCTATTTACGGCCAGTTCTCACCCAAGCATTGCGCTAAACCCACAATACCATGTATTTAGCATAAGCTATTGCACAGCACACTTATCATGCAGTACCGTGCGTTAGGTGCTTTGCCTTGCCATTCAATGGAATGACACCACAACATACCTCCCAGCAGCCATGCATTGTAGTGCAATGCGCAGTACCACATAGTTACATAGTATTTGAGGTTGAATAAAAGACATAAGTCCATCAAGTCCGACCTATTGCTGATGTGTATAGTCCATGTATCATCTCATTCTTAGGAGTACTGTACCCCTGTATATTACAGTCCCTCAGGAAATCGTCCAAAATTTTCTTGAACGATTCCACACTCTTAGCTGAAATCACTGCCGGTGGCAGTGAGTTCCAGACCCTAACTGCTCTTACTGTGAAGAACCCCCTTCGCCCAATACCATGTATTGCATTGCGGTGGGAAAAATAAGTGCTTGCGCTACATTTCACTGCAACAAAGAGTATTGCGGTACCGCCCGCTGAGCTGCAACACATGGCTGCTGGGAGGTGTGCTGGGATGCCATTCAAATGAATGGCAAGGCACCTAGCAAACAGACTCACGCACGAGGTGCCCTAATCACAGGGTGATGTGGGTTTAGCACAATGCTTAGGTGAGAACCGGCCATAAATAGGAGAATTGATTGTATTAGCTCTTTGGTAAGGTTCCTTGCCCTCCCTCCCTGCAGAATTTTGGTTTGTCACTTTTTTTTTCAGGGTTTTCTTTTATCGCACCAGGGTTTGTACTGTCAGCTTTGGTTTATCACTTAAAGGCATAGTCAAACTTTTGCCAAAAAATACATAAATCAATAATTTCACACACACTAATAACAAAATGTGCATTGACACATGAGACTATAGTGTCTGTGATAGGATTTGTGAATGGTTGATATAGCTGAGTGAATGCAGCCATGCACAGCCGGGCCAAATTCTAAACAAGAAAGCAGCCTGGGGAGAGAAAAGCCCTGCGAATCAGGTGAGTGGGTGGGGGGCTGGGAATGTAATTATGTTTCATGGTATACTATAAATATGGTGTAACAAGAAACATGGTTACAAAATTAAACTTACCCTTTAAGTGGGTATGTGGGCTAGTACATTGCCTTCCCGGCACTTACGGTAAGGGAAAGCATTCAAGCTAGTGTTAAGGTGCCCACAATATAGCTGTGACTGGCACAAGTTCTGGTTGTTGCCTATGGGAATTTGTCATAATAATCTTCTCTCTTCCAACTTGATATATGTTTCCTTTCAATTATTGGGGTAAAGCTATTGCTCTTATCAAGCAGTCAAGGGTTAGAACCCCTAATGGGTTTTAATTGCTGTCTTTGTGCTCAGTTGTATAACCTTTGCCTTGAGCCGCCGTGTGTATTAAAAGGTAATTTGGGTACTTACTCGTATTTTAATAACTCTAGTCTTTGCTCCACAATTCTTCTTAAGTAGCATTTTCTGGAAGAGAGGAGGAAAGAAAGAAGTGAATTAGGTTGATATTAGATACAGTTTTGTGTTGAGAGGGTTAAATGAAACTTGTAAAACCTATGGCCTAAATAAAATGCATTGTTGTCTGGGACTGTTGATACATCGCATGTGCCTTCCAAGATACACAGACTGCTGTCCTAAGAGTGGTGTCAACATCCCTCGTAAAAGGATGCCATTCCCTGTCCATGTTTCTTCCTCCCGGAGTGTGGGAACGCTGCAGAGCTGGATGTGCTTACAAAAGATTTGTGTATGTGCATATTGAGAGCATGGCAAGAACTATATTGTAAATGGAAAAAGCTTTTCATCAGAGGATTTAAACCCAATCCAACTATATATGGTTGGATTGGGAAGTGTGTATTTCTGTAGGCCTGGATCAGGTTCTTTTGGTCCTAGGATGCAAGATTTTGATGCAGAGGTTCTGGCTGTGGTGAATGTACAGCAAAGAGGTATTAGTGTCTATTTTAAGTGTAAGTTGGGCTAGTGTAAGGGTCATTTAGGGGAATGCTGAGTGCTCAGATAGAGGACGTGTTGAGTGCTCAGGTAGGGGAGGGGGGAGTCCTTAGCTAGGGGACGGGTTGAGTGCTCAGGTAGGGGACGGGTTGAGTGCTCAGGTAGGGAACGGATTGAATGTTCAGGTACGGGACAGGGTTGAATGTTTAGGTAGGGAACGAGTTGAGTGTTCAGGTTGGGGAGGGTTGAGTGTTCAGGTAGGGGACGGGTTGAGTGCTCAGGTAGGGGAGGGGGGAGTCCGTAGGTAGGGGACTGGTTGAGTGCTCAGGTAGGGGACGGGTTGAATGTTGAGGTAGGGGACAGGGTTGAATGTTTAGGTAGGGAACAAGTTGAGTGTTCATGGTAGGGGAGGGTTGAGTGTTCAGGTAGGAGAGGGTTGAGTGCTCAGGTAGAGGATGGGTTTAGTGCTCAGGTAGGGGAGGGTTGAGTGCTCAGGTAGATGACAGGTTGAGTGCTCAGGTAGGGGATGAGTTAAGTGCTCAGGTAGGGGATGAGTTGAGTGCTCAGGTAGGGGAAGGTTGAGTGCTCAGGTAGGGGACGGGTTGAGTGTTAAGGAAGGGGAGGGTTGAGTGTTCAGGTAGGGGAGGGTTGAGTGTTCAGGTAGGAGAGGGTTGAGTGCTCAGGTAGGGGATGAGTTAAGTGCTCAGGTAGGGGAGGGTTGAGTGCTCAGGTAGGGGAGGGTTGAGTGTTCAGGTAGGAGAGGGTTGAATGCTCAGGTAGGGGACGGGTTGAGTGCTCAGGTAGAGGAGGGTTTAATGCTCAGGTAGGGGACGGGTTGAGTGCACAGGTAGGGGAGGGTTGAGTGCTCAGGTAGAGGACAAGTTGAGTGCTCAGGTAGGAGATGAGTTGAGTGCTCAGGTAGGGGATGGTTGGGTGCTCAGGTAGGAGAGGGTTGGGTGCTCAGGTAGGAGAGGATTGAGTGCTCAGGTAGAGGACGGGTTGAGTGTTAAGGAAGGGGAAGAGTTGAGTGTTCAGGAAGGGGAAGGGTTGAGTGTTCAGGAAGGGGAGGATTGAGTGCTCAGGTAGTGGAGGGTTGTGTGATCAGGTAGGGGACGGGTTGAGTGTTCAGGAAGGGGAAGGGTTGAGTGTTCAGGAAGGGGAGGATTGAGTGCTCAGGTAGTGGAGGGTTGTGTGATCAGGTAGGGGAGGGTTGAGTGTTCAGGAAAGGAAGGGTTGAGTGTTCAGGTAGGGGAGGGTTGAGTGTTCCAGTAGGGAAGGGTTGAGTGATCCGGTAGGGTTGAGTATTCCGGTAGGGGAGGGTTGAGTGTTCCGGTAAGGAAGGGTTGAGTGTTCAGGTAGGGGAGGGTTGACTATACCTAGTTCTCAGTACAGGAAGAGTTGCACTAAAAACTACCAGAAGTGGGCTCCTGAATAACACTCTACTCCACCCAGCCACAGCAGACGTTCCCTGTTTGGGCCTTCTTCCCCAGCAGAACCGATAAGCATGCACAATCGGTCAATGAACATGCACTTGTACCAGGATAATTGGATATATTTTTTGTAGTCAGATTGTGCATTATCTAGTTAACAAAGCTTTGATGTCTGCAGTTGGCATTTGTCTGGTGCCATTTACTGTGTGTGGGAAATCTTCAATCACAGAGATTGGCTGCTTATAGTCTCCCTTGGGAGAGCCAGTGACAGAGTGACAACACAGAAAGACAAATGGAAAACTGGGATAGAGCGTTGTCACCCTACAACAGGAACTGCTGAACAAGGACATTAATGTCAATGTCACCAAGGATTGATTTAATGAAAGCTAAAAATATATATGTTTATTGTTATTTTTTTTCAATTTACCAAATGCAAAGTGAGTGAACTGAAGAAAAATCTAAAATCAAATTAATATTTGTGACTACCCTTTGACTGCAAACCAGCTTCAATTCTTATACTTGCACAAAGTCAGGGATTTTGTAAGATTAGAGTCAGGTGCATGATTAACCAATTATACCGAGCAGGCGCTAATGATCATCAATTACATATGTAGGTCGAAACACAGTCATAAACTGAAACAGCTGTGTAGGAGGATTAAAACTGGGTGAGGAACAGCCAAACTCTGCTACTAAGGTGAGGTTGTGGAAGACAGTTTCATATCACAGGTCATACACCATGGCAAGACTGAGCACAGCAGAAAGACACAAGGGGGTGAATTTTTCAAAACCGGAGCAGACAGAAACTGGAGCAGTTGCCTGTAGTAACCAATCAGCTTCTCTCTTCTGTTTGTTGTTAAGCTTTGAGAATGATAGATAGAAGCTGATTGGGTGCCATATACAGCTGCTCCAGATGCTGTCTCCTTCAGTTTTGATAAATTCCCCTCAGAGTAGTTATACTGCATTAGCAAGGTCTCTCCCAGGCAAAGATTTTAAAGCAGACTGGGGTCTGATGTGCTGTTCAAGCTTTTTTGAAGAAGCACAAAGAAATGGGCAACGTTGAGGACCGAAGACGTAGTGGTCGGCCAAGGAAACGTAATGCAGCAGATGAAAGACACATCATGCTTACTTCCCTTTGACATTGGAAGACGTCCAGCAGTGCCATCAGCACCGAACTGGGGGCAACCATCTACTGTCTGGGGAAGTGTGGCTAGAAGTGGTCTTCATGGAAGAATTGAGGCCAAAAAGGCATACCTCCAGCGTGGAAACAAGGCTAAGCGACTCAACTATGCACGAAAACATAGGAACTGGGGTACAGAAAAACGGCAGCAGGTGCTCTGGACTGATGAGTCAAAATGTGAAATATTTGTCTGTACCAGGAGGCTGTTTGTTCGCCTTAGGGCTGGAAAATGGTACAATAATGAGTGTCTGCAGGCAACAGTGAAGCATGGTGGAGGTTCCTTGCAAGTCTGGGGCTGCATTTCTGCCAATGGAGTTAGAGATTTGGTCAGGATCATGCTGAGAAATACAAGCAGATACTTATCCATCATGCCATACCATCAGGGAGGTGTGCGATTGGCCCCAAATTTATTCTGCAGCAGGATGACAACTCCAAACATACAGTCAATATCCTTAAGAACTATCTTCAGCGAAAAGAAGAACAAGGTGTCCTGGAAGTGATGGTTTGGCCCCCACAGAGCCCTGACCTCAACATCATGGAGTCTTTCAGCCGACATCCACAGAAGATCTGTGCTTAGTTCTCCAAGATGTTTGGAACAATCTACCTGCCGAGTTCCTTCAAAAACTGTGTGCATCCACTTTAAAGAATGAAATTGCAGTACTGTTCACTTTAAGATTACCACAGGTACTGTATATCTAAAACATATTTTTTTAGTTCCCCTTTAACTGTGACACGATCCTTTCTCACACAGGCTGGAGGAGACGTGACATTTTTCAGGCCGCAAGTAGAAGGAACTTAAATAAATAAGGGTAAGTTACATCAGCATCATCTTCCTCCTATGCTGGTAGACAGACAACTTTCTAGAACACATTGTAAGCAACATCCTAATCCGACGCTCTCATATCCTGCAAATTGCACTCACGTGCCTCCACAGTGAAAAATACCAGTATTATATAAACTGTGCAGGTGAGGCTAGACCTCCATCTCTTGGAGAACATATATCAAGAATCCTTCTCACTGCATGTGTATCTGCAACCAGCTAAACTACACCTTGAGAGGGCCATATTTCAGTGTTTGTTGGATGTTGAAGAGGATGTGAAGAGTTAATCTGACAGTCTCTTCTATCACTTGGGGAATCCACTGGTGAGATCCCTGTGCTAACTTCCATGAGGGGCTTCCACCACCCCTGTGCTAAGTTCCCGGGTTTGCACACCTGCTGAGTCCATTATGAGGGGCTCCCACCATCCCTGTGCTGAGTTCCTGGCTCTGTACACACCTGCTGTGACCATCATGAGGGGCTCCCGCCATCCATGTGCTGAATTCCCGGCTCTGTAACCTGCTTTGTCCCTTTTGAGGGCCCCCGACCATCTCTGTGCTGAGTTCCTGGGTCTGCACCCTGCTGTGCCCATTATGAGGGGCTCCCACATCCCTGCACTGAGTTCCTGGGTCTGTACCCTGCTGTGCCAATTATGAGGGGCTCCCACATCCCTGCACTGAGTTCCTGGGTCTGTACCCTGCTGTGCCAATTATGAGGGGCTCCCACATCCCTGCACTGAGTTCCTGGGTCTGCACCCTGCTGTGCCCTATGAGGGGCCCACACATCCCTGCTGATTTTTTTTTATTTATCCTATTTAATGGAGAAAAAGGAGGAGCGGGAACACACAAAACGTAGGGACACCCTAACCCCCAAGTGGACATTTGGAAATTGTGGCTGAGAGATCTCACAGTTGGAATGTCCAAGACATATTAAAAGCCAAGGGCTGACTCAGCCCACCAGGTCCACCTATTACTAGAATATCACTTTTGGATGGACTGGCCATGTAAAGCTAAAATTCATGTATTTAAAAAGTAAACCATTAAAAATGTAAGCAATGCTATACCTGCCTAAAGTCTCAGAGTTGCGATAGTAAATG